GCTTGAGCCCAGGAGTTGGAGGTTGCTATGAGCTGTAATGCCATGGCACTCTACCCAGGGGACAGCTTGAGGCTCTGTCTCAAAAAAAAAAAAAATAAAGTTACAAGGTCTCTATTAGAAGAAATAAAAATGACATAATTACATAAACAAGAGGTATAAATTCTCTAAAACTAAATTCTCTTTTGTAACAGTAAGTCAAGAGATACAGGCAAAAGCATTTTATCTAAAGCTAAGGGATAACCTTCAGAACTAAACACTGAGATAATTAAAGAGATTAATTCTGGAGGAATAGGGATGAATAGAAAGAGACTGCCATTTTTCATTATAAATTCTTTTAGTATCATTGGGTTAGCTACCAAGTACATATATTCCTTTAGTAGTTAAGTTTTACAGCCAGGCCTGGTGGCTCACTCCTGTAATCCCAGCACTTTGGGAAGCTGAGGCAGGAGGGTTACTTAAGGCCAGGAGTTCAAGATCAGCTTGATGAACATTGCAAGACTCTGTCTCTCCAACTTAAAATCTAACCAGGCATTGTAGTGGATGCCTGCAGTTCTATTCAGGAGGCTGAGGCAGGAGGATCACTTGAGCCCCAGGAGTTTGAGGCTGCAGTGACCTATGATTACACCAGCCTAGGTAACAGAGCAAGACCCTGTGACTAAAAATAATAATTATTAAAGAGAATGCTCTTCTCGCTTGGGGCCTGTAGCTCAGTGGCTAGGGTGCTGGCCACATACACCAAGGCTGGTGGGTTTGAATCCAGCTTGGGCCTGCTGAACAACAATGACAACTACAACCAAAAAATAGCCAGGTGTTAGGGCAGGCGCCTGTAGTCCTGGCTACTTGTGAAGCTGAGGCAAGAGAATCTCTTAAGCCCAAGAGTTTGAGGTTGCTGTGAGCTGTGACACCATGGCACTCTACTGCGGGTGACATAGTGAGATTCTGTCGCAAAATAAAAAAAAAAAGTTCTTTCTTATGTCTTACAGTCTAACTCAAATCTTTCTTTAAGAAGGTCTCAACTTATCTTTCCCCTTTGACCTCAGTGATAAAGGTGGAGATTGAATACTCCTTTTTCCTTGTAGAAATTTAGGGCTGAGTAGTCAAGCAGGCTCAAGTCCCATCAAAACCAGGTAAATGCCAAGGCCCCAGAGGGTGGTGGCATCAGGGGAGAAGGCATTCTCAATCTATCAGAAGGAGAGTAGTAAAGGCAGTGGTCTCAAGATAGTTAAGTCAATATTGAAACAAGCTGAGAACTCTGGGCAGAGTTATGGAGCTGGTATAAGCAGATTCCAGACAGACAGCCCAAGCCAGCTCTGGGAGCCCCTGCTGAAACAGACAGATGGCAAAGCAAGCAACCTGTATGTTCACTCCTCTCTGAACTGTTCCTCCCCGCTGCAAGTCCCAAATGTGCTTAAACTAGGCCTTCTTTTGTCTCATGACAATTATTGAAAGGTTCTTCCTCCCAAACCTCTTCCCCAAATCAAAGAATCTCAATTTGCTGCTTCGGATGGCACTCAGCAAAATTATTTCCATTCAGTGTGGACCCAGCTCTGAGAAGGAAACAGGGAAACTAGGGGAAATATGACTTCTGGTTGGGGATGCAACCAAGGAGTGAAGCTTCTCCTAAAAGGAGGATTATGTGGAAGCTGCACTCTGGCTAATGATAAGAGAGAGAGAAGGGGGAAATGGGATGAGGTGGAACAACTACTTCCAAACAGGCCTAGAGTCAGAATGTGAATGGAACTTCATGTGCTTTCTTTGCTATCACAGGCCAAGAAGGAGCCATGGAAGACAAGGCAACAACTAAGTCCTGAGTCCCAGCTCACTCTTAGTTCTCTTTTCCAGCCAGCTTCCTCAAAGGGCTTTCCCATAAACACACTTCCCCTCTATAGGATATGGAGTTATAGGTCAAGTACAGAGGAACAGCACAGGTGACCAATTAATGCACTGGGGGGAAAAAACGGGCAGATAATAGAAGCCAGCTTGAAGCTTGGCTTTCCAATGACTTACATCAATGGCTGTAGACCAGAAAAATCTGACAGAAAGACCAAGATCAAGAATTCCCATGATGACTAAACCACTACTAATAAATACCTTTTGTCAGAGGAAACCCAGAATGTTCTGTAAACAAATAAAGCAAATCTAATTTTTCCTTCCACCTACATCCTCCTAATAGCCTATTACTGCACTGATGCCTACAGAGTGGACCATTTTCCCAAGAAGATTACTCTAGAGGTCAAGCGAGGAAGTTACATGCTGAACCCAGAAGTCCTGATTCTGAATGTACAAGCTCTTTCCGCTGTCTCATGTTCTTTTTCCCAGTTAACCCCCACCCACTCACGCACACCTACCCAAGGCCTGATCTCTTATGGAACCTACCAAAACTGTTCCAGTAAGCCAAAGAGTGTAAACTGACTCTTCTGGATCTGGACAAGGGTGGGAAGACATTTTATTCTATGATTCCTTCAACATAAGCCTAAAATTAAATAATCTGAAACAAAATTTCTCACAACCTCAGTTTCCATGCAGGCCTGTTCATCCCTGCTAGTGGGTGCTCTCAAGGAGTCAGCAAAGTGTAATCTGATGGGGACTTCTTCAAAACTTGCTCCATCCTTTAGAAACACCCTTTTATCCCTAAGAGCCTTAGACAGCTGAGGCTCCCCCTCCTTTGAACACATTTTTCTTCTTTTAGTTCAAAGTTTAGCTGATCCTGAAATAAGTGGTGTGAGGAGATAAAAGAGCATGAACGAGAACACATAAAGACCATAGGGGAAACAGAACCAAGTGTCACAAAGATCAGGGAAATCCTTGAAACGTGAAGGAGGTGTCAAAGTTGGACATCCTGAATGGGAAGGGACACTGTCAGATCTTGTCTCTCCTACAGAAACAAACATCCAGAGGGGTGGGGAATTGAGGAAGGGGTAAGAGAAGCTTAAAACTGTTATAGGGAATCATAAAGCACCCTAGAGAAGAAGAGTGAGGGCTAGAGTCCAAGTAGAATGTAACTTCAGAATGATGGAAAGGGTCTGAGATCCCTTAAAGAGAAGGGACTAGGCTATTCTTGGAAGCCAGGAGCTAGGTAGGCGGGTGGGTGACGGTGAAGTAATGGACTCAGAAGCAGCAAAGGAAGGGAGGGATACAATCCTTAGCTCAGGGAACTGGAACCCCCGTGCTGGGGATGCACTGAGACCTGAGGAAAGAGGCAAAATAAGAAAAGGGATAAAGATGGAGCAACTCAGACGACAAGGACAAGCAAGAATGAACACTATGGAAGTCGTCTGATGTGGAAAAGGTTCATGACTTAAGAGTAATAATTCGAGACGGAGGCTACAGGGATAACCGTGAGGGAGGGGGGAATGCCCGGGGCAGAGGGAAGAGCTAAACAGAAGAGGAAGCCAAAAAGCAGAGGAGGACCCCAGGCCTGAGAGGAAAGGGAGGGGAAGGAGCGCCGGGTGCAGCTGCCCCCGGGAGGGCAGTTTTGTAGTCGAACCCAGGTTGGGGGGAGGCTGTGCGGGACAGGGTAGGAGAAGCCCACCACGACCAGCAGGGCAAAGGTGACTCAAGGGGGAGGGGTAGCTTACCTCTGGGGGACCCTCGCAGAGGGGGTGCGGGCGGTCGGGGTCGGACTGCCGACACCGCCGCCTCAGCAGCAGCGACCGCTGCCGGGTTCCATTGGCCGCTTGCGCTTCCCTGACAGCGGCCGCGGCGGCTGCACCAGGCCCCGGCTGCGCGGCTGCCCGCGGCGCCGCCTGATGGGGCCTTCAAGCTGCCTCAGGTTCGACTGGCCCACGCACTCTCGCTTCCTCCCTTGGTATACCAAGACCAAAAGTAAACAAATTGTCCAGCAGATCTAGATGTAAAATTATTCTGCGGAATCCAAGCCTTTTTTCTTGGGATACCCTTTCCTCCGTCCTGGACGCTCAGGACCCTACCGATCCCATAGTAATCTAAGGAGTCAAGTGAGCTGCCCGGAACATGCCTGTTCAGAAATAGAAAAGGGGGCGGGGAAGAGATACAGTATTTGGAAGCTGTGGCTTGGAGCGTGGAGGGCAAGGGGAGGAGCTTACGGGTGGGAGGAGGAGCCAATCTTTGAGGGGCGGACCTACGAGAGAGCGTTGGCGAGCTAAGAGAGCCAAGAAGGAAGTAAACTTGGCTAGATTAGTGTCAGGGCTGTAGTGGGTTCCCCGTTCAATAAATATGGACGTATAGCGTACTTCCAGGAGTACGTTAACATGCGATTCATATGTAAATGAGGTATTTGACTAAGCCACCGAGTTACCCTAATTGCAAATCACAGGCTTTACCCCCTCCCCATTGCAACCTGACTCTCTTAGTAAATCAGGCCCTGTGATGGACTTTGGGGGCCCAGAAGGCGGAAGGGAGAGAGGACCGGCGGAGAAGACAGTCACCCTCAATGCCCTTTTCCTACACATCTTTAAGGACAATGCCAAAATTACGCTCCTTCTCGCTTCGCTGTGAAACGGTCCATTTCCTTAGCCAGCCTAGGTTAGCCACCCTACTCCAGGCGGCAGTTCTGCCTCCAAGATTACCGGCGTGGGCAGCCTTTGACCTCCAACATCCAGACGCCCAACCCTCCAGGGAAGGTATGGGCAGGTTCAGGCTGGGAGAAGTGAGTGAGATGTGACTAAACAAATAAACAAAAATAAACCTTGCAAAGGGGTCCCAGTAGAACCCAGGTTGGGGGAGGCTGTGCAGGACAGGGTAGGAGAAGCCCACCACCACGACCAGCAGGGCAAAGGTTATTAGTTAGTTTAGTGTATTTTTCTTTTTCTTTTTAGAGACAGAGTCTCACTTTATCGCCCTCAGTAGAGTGCTGTAGCGTCACAGTTCACAGCAACCTCCAACTCCTGGGTTTAAGGCAATTCTCTGGCCTCAGCCTCCCAAGTAGCTGGGACTACAGGCGCCCGCCACAACGCCCGGCTATTTTTTTTGCAGTTTGGCCGAGGCCGGGTTTGAAGCCGCCACCCTTGGTACATGGGGCCAGCGCCCTACCCATAGAGCCACAGGCACCGCCCCAGTTTAGTGTATTTTTCAGTTGACATACTGATTGAGAGCCCTCTTCCTCCTCATAACCTTTCTCCTAAGGTCTTAACTAGGGCTTAATATTCAAAGGCCTTCCTAAGGCCCTTACTTAATGTTCTTCACTGAGGCTAGTTATGTGAACCCAGGTGTTGGATGCCATCTTCCCTGTGGAAAAAGAAGCTAATAATTATTGCTTGTGGCTGTGCCAGGTGGCTCATGCCTATAATCCTAGCACTCTGGGAGGCTAAGACCTATAGATGACCTGAGCTGAGGAGCTCCAGAGCAGCCTGAGGAAGAGCTAGACCCTTTCTCTACTAAAAATAGAAAAACTAACCAGGCATTGTGGTGGGCACCTATAGTCCCAGTTACTAGGGAGGCTGAGGCAGGAGGTTTACTTGAGCCCAGTAATTGGAGGCTGCAGTGAGTTTTGATCACACCACTGCGCTCCAGCCTGCCCAACAGAAGAAGACCTCACCTCTAAAAACAAATAAGTAGACAAACAAAATAAAAAATAGGCACAGAATTTATACTTGGGATGATTTTTAAAAAATTACACTAGCAGGGTGCAGTGATTCACATTTGTAATCCTTACACTTTGGGAGGTTGAAGTTGGTGGATTGCTTGAGTTCAGGAGCCAAAGACCAACCTGAGGAAGGGTGAGATCCCATCTTTACTAAAAGTAGAAAACTAGCTGGGCATTGTGGCTGGTGCAGGTAGTCCAAGCTACTTGGGAGACAGGTAAGAGTTTGAGGTTGCTGTGAGCTATGACAGCATAGCACTTTACCCAGGGCAAAAGAGTTAGACTTTACCTCAAAAAAAAAAAAAAAAAAAAAAGAAAGAAAGAAAGTTATTGCTTGAGCTCCCTACGTGTATGAATACAAACATTACCTTGTTTATTTGTCACTGCAATCCTATGAAAGAGATTTTATTCCACTGTATGGAAACTGAGCTTTAGAATGGTTAAGTTGGGCGGTGCCTGTGGCTCAAAGGAGTAGGGCACTGGCCCCATATGCTGAGGGTGGTGGGTTCAAACCCAGCCCCAGACAAATAGATAAATAAATAAATAATATTAGAATGGTTAAGTTATTGTTTTTCCAAATTGTTTTATTTCAACCCACAGTAAGAAATGCATTTTCTATCATGACTGCTGAAGAACAGATATACATGTGTCAACAGAAATATTTCATGAAACAATACTTAGCCTTACTATGTGCAATATTCTGGTATTTTTCATTCTATTTTGTTTCACTTTTTAAAAATGCTGTTTTGCGGCTCGGCGCCTATAGCTCGACCGGCTAAGGCGCCAGCCACGTACACCTAGGGTGGCGGGTTCGAATCCCCAGCCCGGACCCGCCAAACAACAATGATGGCTGCAACCAAAAAATAGCCGGGCGTTGTGGC